GATCATTGTGGGTCCACAGGTCCTCGGGGATGCCCGAGGATTGATGGCAAGGCCAAGGTCGGCCCGAGGTGGCCCGAGACATTTGCCATGACATGTTGTTGTAGTAGAATGGCCTCAACAAAGGCCCAACAATTCATGGTCATGGCAAACCCATTCTACAACAACAACACCCATTTGCCATGACTATGGTCACATCGATATTTCCCCTTCGTCATGGGGAATGGAAAACAACAAGCAGCCAGAGTTGCTACATCCACGCAATCACCGACCGGGACGTGTTCGCCCAAGTCAAGGAAGTCATTGGCGAGGGGCTGCCGGACAGCCACAACGGCACTCTTTAGAAACATCTCTTGCGTGCATTCCCAGACGTGGAGAAGATCGACGTCTAATTTTGTCTGGCATTCCTCCCTCGAGCGCTGCAGATGGCCACGCATAATCTCGCGCCAAGAGCTCTGCATCCCATTCGTCTCTTACAAATCTTGATAATCGATTGCACTATGGACGGCAACGATTTCGCGCTGTTGTGCCGGCTTCTGAAACAGCGGGATGAAGAGGTGGAGAACTTGGAGGCGCTGGAGATGATTGTGACACCAGACCATCGATACATAAACCTCACAAATGTCACCCTTTGTGATGTGCTTGTCGCAGATTGCGAAGCGGAAGTGAACCTGTGGGAGGGGACAGAGGATTTGGCTTAGAGGTGGGCTTTGAGGTCGCTTTCTTTTTCCAATGTTACACATTTTTGCAGAACACCATTGTGTCCATCTCCCCCTCCCTGTATCCTCCTGCACATGAGCTCGTACCTTTCTGGCTTGTATAAATATGTTGTTCAGTCCAGTGATGCAACACCCAACCACAAGTACTAGCCAAATGTACCCACATTTCAGCTCACATGCACCCTGTCCTCGGTCACCGTATAGCACACCTTGAAGGATGGGCACAGCTTGCGTTGCAGATGTGCAACATGCCTCACGATCCTGCTGGGTTCACGTCAACAGCACGGGTTGTAGAAAATGCACATTGATGCAACAATGGTAGGGCCACCCAGTGCATGGCAGGCATGCAAAATAGTAATTTCTGGCAAAGGCTACCCATCAATCTATCACACGATTGATGGCATTGGGACGGGATGACTTCATCCCGACCACCACCTTAGTACTTGTGAGTATACTCTTGCACACCTCCGGTCTCTCTCTCCCTCTCTCTGTGCGTTCTCTCGGCCACCGCCCTTTCACTCTCGGGTTCGGCTTGCTATCCTTCTCCCCTTCCCCACTCACCTGATTCTCACTCTACCTGTCTCTATTGCGGCAAGAGCATCTTCCAGCAAAGGCAATAATCCCAATGGCTCTCTCCATCTGTACATCCGCGGTTGCGGGCGTGGGCGTGGCACATCCACGGTTACGCCGCCGCGCACGAGGAGTCTGTGGCAGCGCCATGGCGATGGGCAGGACGGCGATGCTTCTGCGGGCTCAGTGGCACAGGCTGGGGAGGGTGAGCAGCAGGCAGCTCTTGGGGACAGTCTACTGCAAGCTACGGATCAGCTGGTAAAGGAGAGAGTGGAGAGTGTGTGGGAAGCTGGGGTTCTTGCCGAAATACAGCAAACAACAAAACAACTGTCCCTCATGAGCAGGTGCTTCCCCTTCACATCCGCATCCCGGCCTCTCTGATCTGTCATTGCAGTGGAACTCCAAGATGGAAGTCAGGTCCATAGCAGAGACTGTGCTCTTACAGCACCACAAAAATGAGCGCAGAGTGCAGTATGCTGATACCGCCGGGCGAGTTCTTATTGGCAAGGCCAGGCTCGACTTGTCCCGACCTGTCACACAAGACGCCACACGCCTCGATGACAAGCTTCAGCTGGTCAGGAGCCAACGGAATACCCATCCCCTCCTCGAAAGTGGCCTGAAAAATTTAAAGAAATCCCTTCGCACAGAAGGCATAATCACCAACAAGGAGCTGCCGAAGTTTGGCATGTAGCTCGCTGATCTTGTCAACACAGGAGACATGTCGCAACTGCAGATTGTCACAAAAGACGATCTCAAAGAGCCCGAGCTGAAGCAAGGCCACCATAGGCTGTACTTCATCACGGGCCAACACCGTGCAGAGGTAGTCAGACGTCTTGTCGAAGAAGTGCAGAAGAGCAAGCTCTCTATACACAGACAAGTTAAGCAGGAGTGCGTTAGCCAGGCTCTGGCAGACTCCGAGCTCACCACTTGGGATACATTTGTCGAGGGGATCAGGTGGTGAGCAGTCGAGATCTATAACCTCAGTGGGTTCACATGGGGCCGCCATCCGCTCTCCCAAGCTGATGCGAGGTTCCACAGATGTGTTGCTTCCTGGCAGCGGTAGCACTCGCAACATAGAGCCAATCCTCTATCTGGCCTCTAATGTCAACGGCACGATGGTCATGGAACAGAAGGCCAAGGCATGGACACATGTGGTGAAGGTGGGGCAGAACAAGCTCACTGCCAAAGGAATTGACGGTTGCGTCACTGAGCGAGATCTCCTCAGCATCCAGAGGGACTTGGCCATGTTCGACAAGGCCAAGTGCATGAGAAGCCTGTATGATGTCCCGTGCCTGGGTGCTCTCGTTTTCACCGCCTTCAACCATTCACCCAAATATGCCTCGATGGTGTCCAACCTGGTTTGGGTCATGAAGCACTTGACGAACATCTACGGCAAGGTGTGCCACTGCCATCCAGCACGTCTTCCGATCATGGACTCATGGAGCGCACGCGTGCACAGATCTTTGCAACCCTCATGATGAGTCTGTTTCACAAGTTGCCATACATCTTGCAAACCGGCGGCTTCCCCAGCGCAGATGTTGTGGACAAACTGTATAACGCGCAAGAGGCATATGTGGGTGCCTGTGCACAGTACATTCGGGTGCAGAAGACAAAGTCAAAGCAGCCTGTATCCAGGTCGTTGCACCCCCAGGAGTTTGCCAAGTGGGAGGCGCGTGTGCGGCAGTGAGAGAAGGATCACCCTCCGCCGATGAACAAAGTCCCTGGCAAGGGTTCCTGGTCACAGCTGGCACTCGACTTTTTCTCAGAACCTGTCCTTGAGGCGCAGACAGCAGACAATGAGATAGACCTGGTGCAAGGGTTTGTCAGCTGGGAGAAGCTCTCGTCATTCTTGAATACCACCTTTGCGGCCACATTTCCCAAAGACAGTGGCCAGGCATGCAGGTGCTTCGGATCCTCTGGCGAAACCGACTTTCAATGGCCCAACGTGCCACAGCATCCCATGCGCATCTTCGAGAACCGCCTGTTTCAGCTCCTCCATGCCGAAGTTCAAAGCTTCGTCAAGAAGCACCCGCGTGCTGCAGACGCCGGACCACACATCAAATGTGCCATCGTTGCCCTGTGAGTGCACATACAGTATTGGCTATTGACCGAAAGAGTGCGCAACATGTTCATCGGTCTACCATGCCCCCACCTCTTTTCGATGTTGCCACAGAGGTTCAACCAGGTGCCGCACACACTGCTGTCGGTCTGTACATCCACCGTGACCCCTTTGACACCCTTCATGCTCCATCTCTCTCCCGCTAGATTGTCAATCTCATGCTGATCAACTTTGACTGCTAGGCCATCCATTATGTGGAGCCCTTGGCACTTGCCGTCATGGAGATGACCAAGGGCAGCAACACCTAGCAGGACTGCTCTTACAGCGCTTACAACTACTTCAAGACCTTTGCGGACGACGCCAACCGGGACCAGTCTCACGTGTTCGAAGACCGGTGGGAGGCGGTGAGTTGCCAACGACAACCACTTTTGCTTGCAGCTGACCTGGGCCTCTCCTTTCAGTTCTGTGATGTATTCCCTCGCCTGCTCTTCCTGAATCTGCTGCATATTGAAACCCTCATCTTGCAGAGGCTAGGACCCGACGTCAACACTCACCGAGATGCCAAGACGTTTCTCAGCACTGTCTATGACCGCTGGGATTTCGACAGTGACGACTGTGAGCTGTACTCCCACCTGAACTGGAATGCACCGGCCAACAGCACTCCCAATGCGGAGCAGAACGTCATCTCGCATCTCAGCCTGGTCAGGCGGCGGCTTTGTGTCTTTGCCCAAAGGTATGGTGAACACGCTAAAAGCATGGTAAAGGCGCAATCTTGCAAGGTGCCTTTCGATGACATGGAAGAGTGCGACAATCCAGCCGTTGCATTGGTGCGGCATTCATCCTTTTGCCACATAGTTTAGCATCCTGGAGCCGAGCCCGCTGGTGAAATATGGTCGATTTAGAGCCGAGCCCTTCGGTGAAATATCCATATCGAAGAAAGGGTCCCACCTAGGCACTAATGGTATGGCGGGCCCGAGCATGGCTGGCGGGTCCAAAAGTATAGATACTGGTGCGGCTCCCAGGATACTGGCGGGTCCAAAAGTATAGGTACTGTGGCGGTTCCCAGGATACTAGTGGGTCTAGAAGTATGGGTACTGTGGTGGCTCCCAGAATACTGGCGGGTCCGAAAGTATAGGTACTGTGGCGGCTCCTGGAC